GCTGTCGTTGCAATCTGGGGAGTGGTTTTCTTTTTGTGGTGTGCTTCTTTCCTGAGGAGTTGTTAGGTTGCGTGTGGTTCTTCTACTCCCTACTGTCTGTTTTCCAATTTGTCGTATGCGTTGGGACACTGTGTTGCTCGGACTGACTGACATCTTGGGTGAACTTCTCCGCTCCCCTCTGGCTCTTCCAGGAGCCATCTCTGTCTTCTGGGGTAGCTTTCTGCTGGATTTAGGCAGTTTTTACTGAAGAAATGTCCCTGTTCTCAAATGGCGAAGCGGGATGCAGTCCCTGCGCCTCCGGTTTCAGGCACACTCTTCTGCGCCCCGGTCTGCCCCGGACGTGGGTGCCTGCTCCCTCTGTGGGCTCAGACTGCTGGTCGGAAGGGGCCTGGCGTGGAATAACTTCCCGGCTGGCCACTGGGTCCTCCAGAAACCTTCTGCCCTTTTCAAGCAGTCTTAAGAAATGTCCTGTTTTATAGGGTGTTAGTGACTTTTTTTTTTCCTGGTCGCTAGGTGGCGCCAGAGATCTCTCCTATTGGCCTTGGGGGGCTGTTTTTCGCCTCCCCCCACCCCAGAGAACAGAGCGGGAATGGTAGGGTACACCTCAACAGCTTTGGGGTGCTGTGTCTGCCTTGTGCCCCACCGTCGTGGAGAAACCACGCCCCGAATTTTCGTGCCCCGGGTCTCAGTTCAAAGCCCTCAGTTCCAGGATGCGGGCTGTAGCCCAGTTCAGTGGCGCGGGAATGGCGCCTTTTGCACTGCTCCCGTGCCTGGGCGCCTGGTTCCTGCTCACTCAGGGAGGGACCTTCACCTCAGTGAGGACCTCCGTGCGTCTCCCCGCAAGCCTAGGTCGCGGGGACCTGGGCAGCCGCGATCCAGGTCTGCACTTGCTTTTCAAGCTCCCGGAGCGCGCCGCGTTTCCGCGCCAGCTTACTGGCAGCCCGGGCTGTGTGCACGTCTCCCGGGGTCTTTGTTCTTCTCTAATGGCGCCAGGAGCCGTTCGCTCACCGCCGCGGCGGATCCTGCAGGGTTCGCCTCAGCTCCCGTTCACGGGGTGTGGTGGCTGCAATAGTTCCTTTCCACTCCCAGTCCCGCTTGCTGCGTCGTTTGTTCTTGTGGGTCGTTTTGGTTTGTTGTTTCCTCCTCTCTGCCGGTCGGAGAGTGCCGCCTCTGTGGGCGGGGGAGGGGAGCAGGGTTCTGCGCTTCCCTCCATTCTAGTCCTCTTTTATGGCCACTTTCTTCTTCCGGCAGTTCGCTGGCGTCACCCATTTATCTTCCGTGTCCCAGTTCTCACTGGGACTGCGCTTTTCCTCCCTATTCACTTTTTTAATGGGAGATCTTACTCGCAGCGTCTCCTCGCCGCCATGTTGCTCCGCCCCCCTGGTTACAATAAATTTGAATGTAATTAATATTTTCCTTTTGCAATACTTCTTGAAAACAATACTTATAAGTATTTAAGATACGAACATAACAAAGATAAACTTCAAATGCAAAAAGATTAGTCAGAGCTACACAGGACATGTTTAGTCTCAAAACCTTTTACAAGTTTCTGCATTTTTATGTAAAATTTTTAGACACTGATGTAGGAAGGTAAATTGTTGGCTACAGTGACTTTACTTTGACTAGTTGTGCTGATGTTCTCTAAGCAACTGTTAATAATTGTTAGTGAAGGAAAGATATGAAAATGAACACTGTAGGAGACTGATGAATGCACTTGCAGATATTCTAGAACTCTACAAGAAACTTGATAGAAGCAGTTTATCAAAATGATTGGAGAATGATCAAACTTTAGATTTCCTATGACCAGGGATCAACAGATGTTCACTCAGTAGGTTTACAATGACGCTGCAGAATCATTGTGTCTAAAATTTTCCTCACACGATTCCAATGGTCAGTCAAATTGAGGCATCCCTGGCAGCAAAATGGCCAATTTTCTGAACATTCTAATAACTTGACAGCATCGGACTGAATTGAAAATGATTACACTTAGAAAACTGTATGTTCGGGGAGGAGGACACATCTTTCTAAAAGATAACGATGTCTATTAAACACAAGAACAATTAAAGTATATATGAGAGGAGAAAGATTTTCCAGATTTTATCAGAAATTGATCTAATAGTTGGCAAAATAAGATTCGTCATTTCTAAAATGGCAAATATGAAATAGACTACAAACTCAATATACCACTACTTGCCATAGAATGGTGTTCAATTTGGCAATACTCTCTTGGGAAGGTCTTACTGTTGTCCAAATGATTTCATTCCAAGCCAAAAAATATGCAATGCTCAAATGTGTTGAATCCCTGAGCTAAACAAACATAAGATAGTCGTATTGATAACAGAGAGAGGGAGGGCGAATTGTCAAAAGAATCTACAAAAGCACCAGCAGGAAAATCAGTTACATATATTCAAGTCCAAGGAAGGCAAGTATTAGGACTATACTCAGCACCTGTGCCGACAGAAATTTCCTGGTCCTTTTCCTCTTTGTGTGTGCTCCAACCCAGGAAGTAGTTTTGCAATATGGAAAGGAGGAAGGCATACTAGACAAATACTATGAGAAACACTGTCCTAAATATGCTCAGAATGCTAAAGGAGAACACTGACAAGGAAAGCAATATATGAATGAAATAATAATATACATCGAAAAATTTAAAAGGAACCAAACAGAAATTCTGGAGCTGAAAAGCTAAAAAACCAACCAACAAACATATACAACACAAACAAGTAAAACATGGAGATGCTGACCAGATTTAGCATTGTGCTGGAATTGCTCGCCAGAGCCATTTGTCAAGGAATAGAATAAAAAGAATTCAAGCTGGAAAGTAAGAAATATAAGTATCCTGTTTCAGAGATTACATAATCACAGATATGAAAATTCCAAAGCATCCACAAGAAAACTACTAGTTACAAAAAATTCAACAAAGCTACAAGATACAAGAACAACTTATAAACATCAGCTCTGTTCTATTTACATGCAAAGAGCAATTGCAAAGGAAATTAAGAAAGTGATTCTATTTAAATAGTATCTAAAAGAAGAAAATACTTAAGAATACATTTGACCAAGAAGGTAATAGATGTGTATACTGAAAATTATAAAACACTGGTGAAAGAAACTAAAGAAAACCTAATTTAATAGAAAGACATCCTTAGTTGATGTAAAGGATTAATACTGTTAAAATGTCAATCACCCAGCAATCTACTGATTCAATTCAATTTCTATTGAAATTGCAATTTCCTTTTATCTTTTTCAGAAATCGAAGAGCCAACCCTCAAATTCACTTGAAATTGCAAGGAGCCCAGGATATCCAAAACAATCTTGAAAAAGAAGAAAAAATTGCAGGACTGAGATTTCCAGATTTCAAAACTTACAAGTTACTGTAATTAAAACAATGTGGGGACCTCCCCGGTGGCACAGAGGTTGATCACTGGCTTGCGAAGCTGCCCGCAGCTTATGCAGAGCCAGTTCGATCCCTGGCTGCTGGGTGAGGGTCGCACATGGTGCGCAGAACTCTTGTGCCACCTGCTGCTCCCCTCAGCAGTGTATTTTGTCAGTCTGCCTGTTCCGTTCCCCTATCTGGCTCTGTTGAATTCTCTCACCCTCCTGCGCTTCTGACTGTACCCAGTGCTGGTATAAATAAAATAAATAAATCTTAAAAAAAAAAAATGTGTGACTAGCATACAAATAAACATACAGACTAACAGTATAGAATTGGGAGTCCAGAAATAATCCATAAATATAGCCAGTTGATTGACAAGTGTAGTAAGTCTAACAAACTGGAAAAGTCTCTTCAATAAATGGTTCTTGGAAAACTAGATCGTCACATACACAAGGATGATGCTGGGACCTTAACTAAATACCATAAACAGAACTGAATTAGACATTGATCATTGATCTAAATAAAACAGTTAAAACCATAAAAACTTGTAGAGGGAAACACAGATTCAGTGTGCATGACCTTGGACTTGTCAATGTACACTTAGATATAATACCAAAAATACAAGTACCAAAAAAATTAGATATGTCGGATTTCATAAAAAATAAAAAAAATGTTAATTGTTACAGACCATTGTCAAAAAAGTGAAGAGACAGTATATAAAGAGTAAGAAAATATCAGCAAGTCATATAGCTGAGAAGTGGCTTAATAACTGAAATATTGAAAGTGCTAAGGAAAAACTTGAATCAACAACAAAAGGTCAAACAACCCAATTATAAGAAGGGCAAAGGACTTGGGTAGACATTTCTCCAAAGAGGATATACAAGAGGCCAATAAACAATTGAAAAGACAATCAACATGATCAGATATTTACAGAAATGCGAATCATCACCACAATGAGATACCACTTGACACCAACTAAGACAGGTAAAATTGATAAAAGGGAAAAGAATGAGTGTTGGTTTATAGGGAGAGTGTGTAAAAACTGGAGCCCCTATCTACTGCTGGTGTGATCGAAAAGGGTGTAGACTCTGGAAAACAGTGTGATGGTTCTTCAAATAGCTGACTCTTAACATGAGCACACCATGTTCCTTGCAGTGTTACGATTGTCATGAGAAGGAAATATTCCAAGTGCCCACAAAAGACCGTGGGTAACCAAATTGTGGAGCACACATACAATGGAGCACAGAGCCATCGAGTGGAATGAAGATGTCACATGTGCACAAGGAAAAGCCCTGGAAGCATTATGATTACTGAAATAAGTCAGTCACAAAAAAATGTATGATTCCATTGACATGAAAATCTAAGAAAGGCAAATTCATAGAAAGAATAGAGTCAAGGTTAATCAGGACTGGAGGAGAGAAGGGCAGCAGGAGCCACTGCTCACTGGTCACAGAGTTCCTCCTTTGGGTTATGAAAGATATTTGGAAACAGTCACGACAGTACGCAGCCGTGGGGATGTGATTGATGCCAGTGAACTGTACACTTAAAATGGTTAGAATGGCACGTGTTACGTTAAAAATCTTACAACAAATATTTTTAAGTTTAAAAACTAATGAAAGTTTTTTTACCTGTAGCATGATACGATTGCAAATAATATGATCAGAAGGTACGCCGTGTAAAACAAAGGGACCACTGACCTAGCAGTCGCCTCAAATTCCAGTTTCCTAGAGAGTGATGTGAAGTAGACCACCTGTCGTAAAAACACATTCAGGTAAAATAACTTTTAATTCCAATATTTGTGTATGAGTGACAAGATCTATCAAAATATTATAGCTTACTGATTAAAACATGTTACAGTTCGGTAAAAGATTAAAATAGTGTGAATTATGATTTTAGAATAAAGGTAATAAAAATGTTCCCCACCAATGCATGGCATGCTTTCTAAGACTTCTTTCAAAAATCCAATATTTAATATTCCTGAGTATACAAATTATCAATTTTCTCTAATACTGTGTAATCACTGATAACTGTCAAAATTTTGGCTTTTTGTAAATGACGAGTAGGTTGCTGTCTTTTGCTATTTAATAAAAAAGTATAATTTCAGCACGGCCTGGTATCCAAAGCTTTTTCCCAGCGGGTGTCTCTCACCAGGCCTTGCCAAAAGTGTTAGCAGATTTGTTCATCATCTAAGGTGCCTGGCAGGATGCTAGAAAATACTTGAGAAATCTGAGCTAGTCGTGTTTTTCAAAAACACCAGGGAATTTCAGCTTAAATGTTTGTTTTTCATTCCAGTGAAACCAAGCAAGTTTTTGGGGACTCCAGAAACAGTGCAGACCTGAAGTGAGAGCATTCTGGCTAGAAAACCAAAAGGAACCCTGAAGATCAATGTCTGCTCTGAACACTCCCACCCCTGGGGTGTAAAATGAGTGTTTCCCACTAGAATGTGACCCAGTATCTAGGTTGGCGGCTTCCCTTGGTGTCCCTTGAAGAAAGCTGGCTTAAGCTTCAAAGAGAGTGGAGCAGACCCGGTTCCACGTCAAGGCCTCCACCAAGTAGCCATGCGTGGAAAATCCGTGGACAGTTCTTATCCCTCCCACCTTCTCCCTCTAAACCCAGCCCAAGGCACCTGGATGTTCTTCAAGGTCAGGCGCTTTTCAATGCCATGAATTTGGTCCAGGAACCCAAGCAGCCACTTCTGGCTGCGCGCGCTGTCCTCAGAGTCCGCGGTCTTCAGGTAGTACTGCAGCCGCATGGCCTTGGCTTGCAGGAGTAAATGGCTAATCCCCGAGCCGGGAATTAGGATGGTTCCTCCCAAGAGGCCGGCCAAGTAGAGGGCCGCAGCGGAGGTATTGTAAATAGGGAAGGTGATGCTTTTCAGGTCCATGTTGTTATTCTTCTGCCAGGTGAACAGGAGTGGGTTGGAGGGCATGCAGGTGCTCTGGTACCTGGCACACACCTGAGGGTAGAGGACCTGGGTTCCATCTCCCAGGGGCGCGGTCAGCATCTGCACTGCCTTGTCCAGTTGACTAATTTCTGAGAAGATGACTTGATCCAGCAGATTGGTAGTGTTGGAGACCACCAGGATGGAGGCAAAGTTGACCTCCGTGCTGGACCGCAACGGGGAGAAGAGGTGTGACTCGTTGGTGGAGAAATGTGCCTGCACGAAGCGCCGCTCGGCCTTGGCTGGGCTGCCCAAAGGGGTGTAGTGCTCCTCCAGGTTCTCTTCCGTCTCCCTGGGCAGGTACATCAAACCGGTGCCCAGGACAGCCGTCAGCACCAGGGGCGCCAGCAGGAAGAGCCAGGGGTGAGAGCCCACAGCCAGCCCCATCTTCTGGAATCCCCTGGCGAGGGGCTGCTCCAGGCAGTTGGTGTGGCAGCGGGGCCTCCCAGGGGATGGCTGCTGCCCCTGGGCTTCTGGGACCGGTGAATCACCTCTCTCAGACGGCTGACAGGGTGGGTCTGAGGAAGGCCTGAAGCCTGGCTCTCGTCGGGCTCCTGCCCCTCACTGGACTCCAGGACCTGCTCTGGCTGCCCCGCGGAGGCGGGGAGCTGCTGGGGCCCAGTTGCCGCCTCAGGATCTGCTCTGCTCTCAGACTCTGGCTCGGGCCAGTCCTCCTGTTCTGGCCTCTGTGCACCTGAAGCCTCCCCTTGCTCGAATCCCCCTTGGGGTGCTACCTTGGAGGAATGGACACCCATTTCCGGAAGGACCGACCAGTTGTTCAACAGGAGAACGAGAAAGCAGTGACTGGATGTTGCACCCAGTCCCCTCCCCCCGCAGCTTCCGGGAGGAATCCACAGGGAGGCTGTGCCAATGGTCACAGCCCCTCGACCTTTGACCTCCGCTGTGCATGCTGGGATGCGGCGGGGGGCTGCCAGGGGGGTACTTTGCTGGAGAGCGGGGTCTTTCCAACTGGCCTAGTTGGGGGAAGTGGTTTCCAGGCAGGACTGCGCTCCTGCCCTTAGGATCCCCCACCTGAGGGGCCTGCATTTGCTACACTGTTATCAGTCCTGGTGTTCACTCCTGTGGCCTGGCGGGGGTGTTGATATATCCGCAGAGAGAAGCAGAGGCCGGGACAGAAAGGGAGAAGGAGGCTAGAGAAGCCCAGAGTGAAGACTGCGGGGGCTTTTCATTTCATTTATTTATTTTTTTATATTTGTTTATTTTTATTCAAGGACTGGGGTACAGGCCAGATGCGCGGGAGGGTGAGAGGATTCACCAGAGACAGAGCAGGGAGCAGAACAGGCAGACTGGCTGAAATACACTGCTGAGGGGAGCAACGGGCGAGACAGGAGACGTCTGCCGCGCCATGTGGGACCCTCGCTGGTGGCCGGGGCCGGGGACAGCTCCACAGTGCGGGGCTCAACCCGCGGCGCCACTGGGGAGGCCCCACTTTTCATTTTAAAAGTGAAGAGAAATCAAAATACTAATAAAATGCTACTCATGAAAGTTGAGGTAGATTACAATCATGAAAAGTGGATATTCAGAAGAATAAAAAATATTGCAGATAAACAGGTGACCACATAGTGACAAAGAGTTTGATTTATGGGACAATCCTAAAATGTGAGGAGATTGTAGTCTCAAAATATGTTTTCAAAATTCCAGAGCAGAAGAAAATAATGAAAATTACAATGGACGTGCATAAATTAGAGACTTGATAAATAGAGAAAATCATTGCAATCCAAATGACTAAAATCAAAAATAAAAGATTACCATGGATCATTCTGAAATTTAAAACAATTATAAGAAATTACTCTGAAAAATGACATGCCAACAAATTGTGCACAGTGGATGAAACAGACAAATTCCTTGGAATAGAAACGGTACCAAGGCCAAATGGACAGACCTCTCTCTAGGATGAGAATGACTCAGTCAAAGAAAAGCCTCTTTGAGCATGCTTTTAACTGGGCTTAGGAAAGGCGGGTGATGTACAGTTCCTATTATAAGGAAATTTGCCTGGCATTTTCCCATGGTTGCAATCTCTTTGCATTAATAGCAATTATGTTTTTAATGTAAGTAGAAAAAGTATTTTTCATAAAATCTCCAGATTATAAGACTACTCTGTCTAAGAGTTTATGGGAATATCGTTTACAATCTCTTAAAGGAGAAATAGATTTTGAATATTGGTTTTCCATAAGATCATGGTTGAAAGGAGACCACAAGATGGCACCTGTTTTCTAAAATGTTCAACATCACTTGTAATCAGGGTAATGAAAATCAAAACTACCATGAGATACCATATTACACCAGTGAGAATGGCACATATTAAAAAAAAACTAGCAACAACAAATGTTGGCGAGGGTGTGGAGAAAAAGGAACTCTTCTGCACTGTTGGTGGGAGTGCAAACTGGTCCAACCACTATGGAGAGCTGTGTGGAGATTTCTGGACCTACTAAACATAGAGCTTCCATATGATCCAGCATTTCCACTCCTAGGTATTTACCCAAAGGACACAGAAACATCAATTCCAAAGAACACCTGCACCCCTATGTTTTTTAGCAGCACGGTTAACAATAGCTAAGCTTTGGAAATAACCCAAATGCCCAAAAATAGATGACCGGATCAAGAAGATGTGGTACATATACACCATGGAATATTACTCAGCATTCAAAAAAGATAAACACATGCAATTTGCAGCAACATGGATGGCGCTGGAAGGGATCATGCTCAGCGAAATAAGCCAAAAAGAAAAAGAAAAATACCGGATGGTCTCACTCATAGCAGGAATCTAGAAAACTTAAATATGGGACCAGGAAAATGAATAACTATAAGAAAGTGAAAATCAGAACCACACAAAAAACTATGAAACAGAGACACTTTTGGGGGGTGGGGGGCGGGAGGGGAGGGATTGGCATCAGAAAGGGGGGTTGCAATTGTATGGGGAATATAAAAATAAAATTTATTATTTAAAAAAAAATAAATGGAATGAGAAGAACAAAAAAAATAAAAAAAAAGATGAGCAAGAAGATTTCGCAAAAAACCCAAAAGTGGTGAAGAGATAGGAGGAAATGATGTTGCTGAAGTAGGGCAACAAACATCACGTGGAATATCAATATCCAGGACTATTATTGACAAGCTTCCATTTTTTTTTCATTTATATTTTTATGTGAAAATTACAGTGCGTCAGTTCTCACACTTTTTGGTTCTATAACGTATTGTCTACTTTTTCGAATCATTGAAAACTCAAACATGATTACATGTCTATAGCTATCAATATTTATTATACTAGAAATAAAAAATTAGAGAAATTTTAGACATATATTAATTCACTTTAAATGACAAGTGTTGTTACTAGTTAATGTTTATGAAAATAACTATTTTAACACAAAAAGTAGTGATGAGTAACATTATTTTTTAAAAGTATGCTTTTTTTCAATCTCTTTAATGTCTGGCTTAATAGAAAAAAGCTGAATTTCCCTACCTGGTTCTGCCAGCATTCTGTTTTGCTATCACGGTTTATGCGTCCTTTGGAAAACTCCCGTTAGGTTTTGTGGTGTCACAAAACAAGAAGAGTGAAAAAACCTAAATAACATCTTAAATATTTATTAAGAGTTGGATCTTCCAGAACCCCAGAAATGGTCTCCTAGGATTGGGGGACTACGCTTTTAGAATCCCTGCCCCACAGCAGGAAAGCTTGACTATACTGAGAATCTCAGAAATACATTCTTGATGCCACAGCCAGGAGCAGACTGGAATAGACCGATTGAGATTTCAAAAATGATTTTATTAGAGGTTGTCTGGGTGATATCACTTCTCAAAGTTGGGAACGAGCCTAAAATGTTCACTCAGTTCATTCATCAAACATTTAGTATAATTTTACATTATATGCCAGGTACTAGACACCAGGGCTCTTTCTGTTCTCTTTGGGGCAGATTAAACAGTGAACAAATAAACTAGTAAAATATGTATAAATATAAAGTAGAATTTATTTATCATGTATATGTAAGGATGGCAAATTCTATGCAGAAAAATAATGTGAAGAGTTATAGGGAAAACAGGAAGGCTGTGCACAGGACAAAGGAAGACCTCCTTAGGAAGGCATTATTTGAGTAAAGACCGGAAGGAAGTGAAGGAACCAATTGGATATGTGGTAAACGTGCTTTCCCAGATTAAAAAAAAAATCTTTAATTTTCCCCCTATTCCTTCTGTAATCAAATCTATTGTATCTGGCATTAGCTGCAAGTGTAAGAAGATGAAAGAACTGTTCAGTGTCTGCTAAGTACCAAGCACTTCATAAGCTTTCATATCCATATGAGATTTGGGACTTTCAATAAGATTTTCAACTTAGTGAAGGAAAGAAAGCACATGTACACGATTCCTGTAGTTGTGTAGTTTTTAAGAACAGAAATAGCTGGTTTGAAATTGCACCACCATAAGTTTTTATGCACCGGATCTATAGAGTCTACAATTCCCTTTCAAGAGGTACAGATGTAGGAAGGGAATTCTTCATTAAAGGAGGGTAAACCAGGAAATTCATACCTGGTCACACTTAAATGGTTTACTTGTGTTTACAAAGTGTGTTCATAAACGATCTCACTTACTCTTCACAGCAATCCAAGAAGCTGGTATTATTCTAAGACATATGATGGCCTCCATTGCTCAGCTGAGCTAACAGGTTCAGAAGGCTAGATAAATTAGCTGGCCATGTGTAGAGTTGGGACCTACTTTTACCGTAATTTGCCTTTCCACACAGTGCTTCCCGACGCCGCACAGCTGTTATGAGCAGCAACTAAACCAAACAAGCGTTACACTCCCCTGGCTCAGCCCCTTCCCTTTGCCAACTGCACAACCAAGGCCGATGGAAGACAGGGCCGGAAGGAGGAAGTGCGCAGGCGGGTGAGGTCACACTTCCGCCCTCCGGATCTGCGCTTGCGCACGAGAGGACTAACCTCTCGGGGAAGCCGCCTGGAACTCTGGGTGGCAGAGACGCAGAGCAACATCCAGGCGGAACTGGGGCGTCGCCGGCTCCAGGGACCAACACACCCGGTGTGAAAAGGTGGTGGCACGCGGAGCGGTGCGCATGCGCGGGCAGTTCTCGGGGTGAAGGGTTGAGAGCCTGACCGGGCGGCCAGGTGGGCTGGAGCGGAGCAGCGTCAGGATGGACGAGGACGTGCTGCCCGCCCTGAAGGTCCTCATCATCGGCGAGAGCGGCGTCGGCAAGTCCAGGTGAGGCGGCCCCGCGGTCGTGACGGGGGCGGCGGACGGGGCCGATGTGACAGCGTCTCCCCGGGAACTGTCAGCGGCGCGCCCCGAGTGGCCGCGCGGGGTCCCCGCTTGTGCGCCGCGGGCCCCTCCGCCTCGTGGCCCGGCGGCCCCGGCTCCCGCGGCCTCGCTGCCCGCCCTGCCCGCCCCGCCCGCCCCGCCCGCGCCTGCAGCCCCCGCCGGCCCGCGCCGGCCCGAGTGGCGGGTCTTGCTCCCCCGTTGTGGCGAGAGCGCCACGCGGCTGCCGCCCGCCGCGCGAGGCCTGGGCGCCGGGGCCGCGCTGGTCCCGAGGCTCGCCTGGGCGAGGCCGCGGCCCCGGCTCAGGCCCCTCGTGCCCCGGCGAGCTGGAGTCGGGACTTTATCACTTCGGGATTCAGGTTGGACTTTCTCTAACGACGTGACGCTCAGGGAAGTCTCGTGACGCCGCAGGTCGCCGTCCTGGCCGCGCTGCAACGCCCGCCCCGGCTGCTGCTGTCGTGTTTCATGAGTCAGCCCTGAAAGATCTCTTTGGTCTTCCAGCTGCTTGAGTCACTCCCTGTGCTCTGAGATAGTTTTGCTGAAGCTGTGAGCCACCTTGACAAACGATGGTTCCATTCTGCCGCAGCACAGAAGATAACAGAGTGTTGTGTTTTCTTTCTAGGCGCGAGGGGAGTGATACTGACAATAGTTAGACTTGAGTGTGTGGCGCAGACATGGAGCTCGCGGTGTAGGAAGAGCGTCCTGATTTCGTCCAGGTCTGTGGAGCAGTTCCCCCGGTGAATTTATCCTCACCGTATTTTCTGTTTTTGCTCCTGATACGCTTATATTTCAAATCACTTTCTTAATCACTTCCTAGTTAAGGCTTTTTAGAGACTTAAGGATTTGAAATCTTATTCTCTAATATGTTCTGAAGGTTTATATATTTTTTAAGCATGGTAATATATTTTCATATTTTTTCTCCTTTAATGTCCTCTGCACCGGAGTGAAGGATTTGTGTTCAACAAGGATTGCAGTCCTGGAACACTGGGTTAGGGAAAGGTATAGGGTGTAGGGCGGTGCAGAGGAGGGTGGGAGGGAGAGATAAAGGGCTAGATAGAATGATCACCTTTTGTTTTGATGGTTTAAAAGGTATATACTGGCATTATCTCAATAAGAACTCCATAGCCTTGTGACCTTTCTTTGTTTCTTGAGATGTGACTCTCATTTCGGTTAAGGCATATCATATTGCTAAATCTGAAGTCAAGATGAAAATCATTTCATGTGATTAAACCCAATAAATGGCAGGGCACTTTTTCTCAATGTGTTAGGTGGATCACTGCCTAGGAAGGCTCTGCGAGAGGACTTTTGAAGATGAGCTCGAAGTACAGTGTTGATTTAATTGAGGTTCTTCCACTACACCACAGTCTTTTAAGTGATTTCTTGTTCTTCATTCCTCTCCCGCAAAGGTATGTGGATCTAATCTGTTCCAAACTTTTCTTCCATACTTAGTAGTGAGTTGTCAGATGCTCACTGCAGTAGTTGAACACCTTTAATACCTCTTTCAAGAAGGATGGCATTTGTGAAAAAGTGTCTTATTTTTCTAGCAAGATAAACATTTTTTATGTTATGCTATGGAAAATAAACCTTGATACATATATTTCTGTGTAAGATGAAAACAAATAATTCCACTAAAATGGAAATAGATGATTTTAAAGTGAATTAGCATAAAAACATAGGTCATGGATATAATCTGAAAGGGTTCTAGCCAGAAGTTGGTTTCTGTTTTTGCAGAAACCCAGTGTGGCAATAAGACATCACTTGTGTTGTTGAAAAATCATTGCACAAGAGTCTTTAATTCAAATTTGAGTGTTATTATTCCAGTTAATTTCAGACTTGGAGAATCAACTACGTGTGAGATCAGGATTTTGAAATCAATGCTTCCATTTATGTGACCTTATGTGAACACTGAAGGCCTTCATTTTTCACTTTGACAAATGAGGGTAGAATAGAAATCTCTCAAACCCTATCTGATGTTAAATATGTCAAATTCTTTGTTTCTGTGGCTGGGCATAGTGAACTAAAATAGCGAAGTGTTTCAGAAAGGGTTAGAGAAACCTATTATCCAAATTGCTTTCCCTCCAATGATCTTTTTATCCCCTTTCTTTTTGGCCAGTTTCATACCGGGGATCGAACTGGTGCTGCAGAGTATGCAGGCAGCTTTGCAGCCCAGCACTTAACCGCTGTGCCACCAGAGGAGGCCCTGCTTTTAAAGTTATTTTATGTTCCAGAAGTGATATGACCTTTACTGTAACAGCACAAATAATGTAGGAAATGGATGGTATTTCTTATTCAGCAATCAGAAAAATTCGTAATATTTTGCCTCCTCTTTGACTCTCGGGCTCCTAGCTTAGGCGCTTGCTCACACAGAATTTCCATCAGAGAAGATGAAAGATGCAGGTGCACTTTTACAGGGAACATTATCTGGTAGCCTGTTATTTGAATAACATTTTAAAAGACTGCATTAGAGAAGATAGAAAATGGGGAGAAGATAGAAAATGAGGGAAAGAGCCCAGGTTTGTTCATGTATTTGTATGATTTCATCAGTTGCCCATTGCAGAGAATAAAATATGTCTTAAGAAGAAATAATTCAGTAAAAAGAGAAAAAAACAGAAAATTAAACCTTGACGTATTAGTAAATTCGGGAATCTGGTTTGCAATCTCTCTCCCTCTCCACCTCTCTCCATCCTATGAGAGAGAAAGAGAGAGAATGGCTGCCACCACTACTGGTAACATCTCTTTGAAAAATGTGCATACTTACTAGGACCGTCTTGCATTCATGCAAATATCTTTTTCTTCAATAAACGACAAAAAAATCAATCTTTACATTTTCTCGTGGCCTACAATTGATTCTTGGCTCAAGATTTCATTGGCTTTATGACTTTATGGATGAATTGTGCATTAGTTTAACACCTGGATTATAGTTGTTTTTATTGTTGTTGTTGTCGTCTTGGAGAGATAAAAAAATAGAAATATATTAAATTTCTTTCCATTCATGGTCTTTTAAAATCCTTATCTTGATGATTTTACTCATCATCTCAGTGGTGATAGTTATTATTTGGATGATTTGATAGTCAACATGGGTTAACTCAACCTAAACCTTTGAGAGGATGAGAATCATTTTATTGGAACGACACAGCAACAGAGGAGGAAAAAAGTGGCATCATTCGGATTTCTTTAAGAAAATCCCTGGGTGTTGGACAAAGCTGTACAAAACATTGTCCATCAACTGCTTTCACGCCAAGCGTAGGCACACACTCCTTGACTGTTTTTTGCTGTTGCTGATATAGTTGTGTGTTTCCCTGAAGTAAGCCCGCCTCCATGTGTTTTTAGTGTCTGTTAAACTGATTCTCCATAAATGCTTAGGGAACAGACTTTGAGTTTGAGGAACAATTTCCCTTTGGTTGCATTTAGTTGTGTCACATTATGGAATTCCTTTTCCTCCTCTGCCTTTCAAAAAGGTCGCTCTCCATAGAGATATTGAATGGTTCCTGCATTTGGGATTTTGCTTCAGCACAGCCAGCTTGTGCTGAAGATCTGGAGGGCGTGGCTGGAGTTCCCAGTGAATGATGGCCTTTGTTACAGTGAAATGAGATGTGGGCACTTATGAAATCCCTCTGGAATGTCAGTTCACTTTATGACTTTTCTACTTAGGAAAAGCTAAAAACCTTACGGTGAAACTTCAAATCTAAAAAACTGTTAAGATAGTTAAGTGCCATTTGAATTTTAATTCAAAATCAGTTTCTTTTAAATACACCAAAATTGATGTCAATGCTGAGTTTTTTAGAAAAGAGAATAATCATGATTGATAATGTCATAGTAGTATACTTCTTTACCCACTTTTTCAAATTCAAGTCACTGCATGTTAATACACATACATACAACACACGTTTCTCAGATCCTTACACATTGCAGCCGCCTTCCCATCAGCGTGCGCACAAGCATGCAGCTCCCTGTGTGTTGCTGAGGGCTCACATGACCTTGCTGGGTGATTGACCTTCCACGGTGATTGGCAGGTTTCTCCTTGACAGATATCACTTCCTAACATGTGCATTTGAGTATCTGCCTTGAGTGTTTATTCCTCAGCCCAGGGGCAGAGACTGCTGTTCACTTTCTTCATTGTTTTATGCTAAAAGCCTGGAAGAGTGTTTGCCACAATGCAAGTGCTTTAAAACAAATTGTGAAGTAAATGAGTTGTGCACTTTTAACATTGGGAATGTAAAACCAGGACAAAGGCCTATTAGTACGGCTGTTAAAAAAGACAAGTGCACCCTCACCCCAGTCCCCTGTGCTCCTCCCTCCTTCCCTCTGCTCCCTGTCCTTCCTCCTTCCCTGCAGGATGTCTCTGATTAATAGTTGTATGTTTCTTTTTTCAGTTTTGTACTGTTGTTATTTTTTTACACTGATGTCTTATTTGGTTCCCCTATATCCCTGCTATAAGTGAAACCATCCATTATTTTACTTTTTCCTTCTGGCTTATTTCACTGAGCATAATTGGTGAAGGAAATTCTATGGGGACTACGCCTGAAAGCAGGGAACAAATATTGTTTAAAAATGAACAATGATGTCTAAATTAAAAAAAAAAAAATTCTCACCAAGAAAAAAGGGCAGAAGTGTTGCCAACCACCCATCTGTAACCCACCTCCTTCTTCTAATGGAGGGCATTCTTTGAATCTGTTCTCCCTACTGGGTTTGAAATGGCTAACAAAGGACGTGGTTTTAGTGGCTCCTCCTGGTGGGTGACCATCATTGCCAATCCCTGACCTGCCTCTA